GTGTCTCATGATTGAGTCTACATCATTTCGTTTCCAGGAAGCCAAGGCAGAAGCCGCTGAGGCAGTGTTGTTGATTTCTGTTTTCGGTTCCAAAAGGATTTGTTTTTCTACTTTTTTCTGCAAAGCCGTTCTTTTGTTTCAAGACATTGCGAGCCTCGCCAGGCAGCAGCACAGAAGGCCAAAGTTGAGGACCTGACGGGAAAACTCGTGACTGTGTGCCGATCGCATGTCTTATGCCGAATGTCGCTCCTGGTCTTCAACAACAATACTTAAAGACGTGCCCCTCAACACGCAGAACAGAAGTCAAGCAGACATACTTCAATGAGCAGAGCAGCTGGAAAGCGTTTACATAAGCGCACAAGGTTCAACATATGATTTCGGATCGCCTTAGACTCTTGCACTGTGAAATGTGGTGTTGTTGTGTGTTTTTGTGCTGCCAGGCAGGCGCAGCTGGCGACGAAGAACCTTCAGTTGCAAGAGGCCAGACCAAACTTTCCTTCTGCTTTGGCCCTCTAGTCAAATCCAACTCTTAGATGCAAGATGTTACTAGCAACATTTTATGCATGCGTACTTGTAATAGCTGCCACCTTTGTGCCTAACCCGTTTGACGTCGATGTTGTTCACAACACTTTAAGGATTTCCCCATGCTCCTACTCATTCTGGGCTGGGTGCTTTTTGGGGCAGCTGAGCCGTGGCTTTGCGCCCGGACAGCAATACATGCCGGATACACGGGTTCTTTTCGATGGTGGATCAACTTTCATCACGCATTTTCAAGACAAACTTCGACCCATGCAGTGTTTTCATCATTGTTTTCCACAGCTTTGTGCGGTTTGGCCGGTGGCATCCTTTGACCACGTCCACAACTACTGTGCTCTCAGTGTGGCGTAGTCGATTCAAGGTAACATGGATTGTGCATCAACAGCAACACCAGATATTCGTGCGTTCGATTGCACCAACCCTGACAATGTGATCGATATCCTTTCTTTGAAGGTAGGGACGGCAGGGATGTAGAGACATCTTGAACAAGTCATAGATTGCCAGGCATTAGCATGTGCTTTCCAGAAACTGCCAGTTTCCAAAAGAGAGCGGACAGTCATTGGGGGTGGGATTATGAAAGTTGTGATTTTACGAGGTTGTGTTTTTTTGCAGATGATATGACGTTGATGGGATTATGAAAGTTGTGATTTTGCAAGGTGCTGCTCTATTTGCAGCTGGCAAGCACATTTTGTTCATTCAACTATGTGCCAAAAAATGTCTTAAATCCATAAGGTTCGGTGTTTACGAATTCAGATTTAACATTAATATAGTTCTATTTTTAAAATCCAAGTTTTTGTGAACTTCTAATTTACTTTTAGAGAGTGCGTGTGGCCTTTAAAATGAAAGCTTTTATACAAGTTCAATATATAAGCATTTGTTCTCTTAAAAACGCACACCCAGCAACACCCGCTCTCTAGAATGAAATCAGATTGAATTAGAATGCAATTTGCAATGAATTAGAAGTACAGTTGCATTGATTTAGAATCGAATTAACTTGAAGCTAGACATAAATCAAATTTAAACTGGAATTAAACTAGAGTTAAATTAGATTTGAATTGGAACTCATTTAAGATTGAATCAACATTGCATTATGTAAATATAATTGAACTAAACTATAATCAAATTAGAACTGTTTAACTTAGAGCTCGATTAGAATTCAATTAATTCAAGACTCGAGTTAACATTGAAAAGGACTTAACGAGCAACTAAACTCGAATTGAATTTACATTTAATTAGAACTTAATTAGAATTGAATTGCAGACGCAAACTAGAATCAAATTAGAGATAACTTGGACTCAAATTAGAATTAAGGTAAAAGTAAATTGCAGTCTCAAAATAAAAATAAATTCGCATTCAATTAAATGCAAGTTCGAACTACAATAGAATAAAACATATGAAATATACTAGAGCAATAGAAAAAAAGATGAAATAAACTAGAGTTATATAAACTAGAATTAAAAAAGCTAACATAATTAAGTCAAAATTGAATAATTGAACTAGACATATGTAAAGTAAAGAGAGTCCAATAATTGAATTAGACTTGAATTAGACAAAAATAGATATACGCAAACCCAAACACAACTAAAATTTAATTAACATTCAGTTGGATTCACATTAAACAATTAAGCACACACATATATATATATATATTAGAGTTCACAAGACTTAACTTAGAATTAAAGTTGAAGAGTTGAAGTTTTATTTTTTATGCATTCAATTTAACTTTGGGTTGAACAATAGATATACACAACTTATAGAATACTTAAACTAGAACTGAATTCGACATAAATTTGAATTCACTTAAGAACAATGAGAAGTTGATTGTAATTCAATCCAATCAAATTCCAGTTAAACTAGACGTGATTTAGAATTGTTTAACTTGGAGCCTGGATAGACTTGTAATAACATTTAATTAGAATTGACTGAGAATTAACTACTATTTGCTCGCACCTCTTTTTCCAAGAATGAAACGGCTTCGGTGTGCTTCTCGTTTTGTGCGTGTCATTCTTGCGACTTGCACTCCTCCCAGGTCTCCGGATTCTTTTCAACGGAGACCTGTTTTTACAAAAAGGTGAGCCGTCAGGCCCAAGCTGTTTCGAAGGTGCTCAGCGGAGCTTGCAAATCTTGCACTCCCGGATCTCCAGCATTGCGCCGGTCACCGCACCACAGGTGGCATCTGTGTGTAGATTGCCCACCTGGTCTTCAAACAAGAAGTGAGTGGCAGCATAGGGCGTCTGGTTCTGTGTGGCGTGTTGACATGCTCCACAGACCGGCTTGCACTGAGTCCGATTAGCATTCCTCAGCCCTCGACAGTCTTCCTGCAGATGAAAGCATTGGCTGGACTCAGCAAACCACGCTTCCCATGCCCTTTCAACAATCAGACCACCCATCCATCTCATAGTGGAGCATCTGCATCATTCGGCGGCTCTTATGGCTCTTGCTGAGCCACCGCACCATTGCCTCGTCGATGTTGGCCACTTCCACTGATGGTCGATTGGGCCGGATCATCTGTAGAGGTTCGCCTGCTCGAACCACGTTGGGCAGCTCCACTCGACCTTGTAGTTGTCATCGTCGACGTTGAAGCCATAGTGCGTTCCCCCGTAGATGATGCCGTAGACCTCGTCAATGCTGTAGTTCCCACCTCTTGTGGTAGGCGTAGAGTGGACCCCACATCCAATTCTCCACTCGAAGAGCTCGACAATGACCGATTCTCCATGGATGCCGTAGGTCTCTGCGTGGATGGAGCCCCTCTGCATTCGAAGTGACCTCACAGCAACTTCCGGCTGACTGCTCCGAAGGATCACCATGATGGCTCCGAAGATATAGAGGATCTGCCCACATTCACTGTCCTCATTCCCGACCTCCGTTGCATTCTCCACCGCCAATGCACCTTGGACCTTCTGGAGCGTGGCGATGACAGTAACCAGCTGTGTGACCTTCTTGACATCTTTCTCAAGCCACAAACGTTCAACCACGGGCAAGTTTTCCTCTGGTTTGTCTTCCTGCATGTCGCCCCCTTTTGGCTGCCATCCCATTCCCATCATCCTCATCAAGTTCTGCACCCTGGTCGGAGCTAGCACTTTGGTTCCAAGGTCCGCCACCAAGCCCTTCCCAGGTTGAAATTGGAGGCCCCAAACACCAGCTTCAAGCTTCCATCGAAGATATGCAGCCCTCACCTTCAAGTGACGAGTTCTCCAAGCGCCAGTGGCAGAGCTTCCCAAAGCAATGGCCGCCGTGTTGTCGCACTTAAGGGTCTTGTGAACACTGCCCACCATCTCTTCAATCATACAATTGACGCTGTCTCCCAAGATGACTGATTCGATGACTTCTATGAGCTCTGCTTCACCATTGCTCAGAGCCGGAAATGGCTGCCTGGATGACTTCCAGGCTATGGGCGATCCACCCATCCACATACCGGTGTTCCGTCTCGGTGGCCCTCTTCTCGAAGTAGCCACAAGTTCTCCTCCAAGAACGACTGATTGAAGAGCATCTTCCTCCCAATGACTGTAAAGTCCATGTTGGCAAGCTGCGCGTCCTCCTCCTCCTCCTCCTCCACAGTCGCTTCCCCTCGAAGATTTCATCTCATTCCCATTCATGACCCTCGTAGACCGGCCATGTGTACGAACCAACCAGCAGGTACTTCTTCTCCTCACCATCAAGTCTCTTCCGGGTTTGAGAGGACCTGACAGATCCAACGCCAAGACACATGGTTCCGGAATCCTTGGGCGAATGGGGTCTCTGTCTAGCAGCCGCTCGTTGACAAACTCCGCAACCTCTCCGGAAGGGTATGTGACCTTGAGCTAGATGTTCTCTCCACGACAACACTTGCAATGATCTCTCATCATGTCCGGGGCCCATCTGGCTAAACCCCTGCTTGTTACTTCAGCTCGCGGCCGCGCCGCTCTGCAAGTTGGAATGGGAAGGTTGCCGCCACCGACGTTGGCTTTGCCCCAGTCCGCCGAAGCCACCCTGTTGAAACGCGATCAACTCCAACCCCCGAATGGCCTTCAATGCCTTCCACTCTCCCGTCCGCCAGAACGAAGCACATGTGGCCGGGTGGTTGAGCCGGCTGCTCCCACAAGAACTTCACCTTCGCGTCCAAGTTCGACTTGGGATTTTGCGAGAGCCTCGCATCTCTCCTCAGGACCCTTTCCGCTGCCCTGGGTCCGCGCGCGCGCGCGCCCTCCTCTACGGTCGAGTGGGCGCCCACAAGGCGCGGACCCAGGGTGTTATTGCCAGGAGTCGCCGCTCGACAGAGTTGACAAAATCGCTTCCTGACCAAAGCTGATATACTTCAAAATACGGGTCGATTGTCAGAATACGTCCCTTTCATGACAAACCAGCTTTTCAGACCTTGGATCCATATTCTTGAAGAGAGACCTTCCAAAAGGAAGGACCTAGAGGCCCCAGGATAAGAATAATTGCAAAAAAAATCGGTTGCCAGCATCATTGGATCCAAAAGACCCATATCCGCTACAGCAAGGTCGATGTCGGATGGAGTCTCAGTGCTTTTCCTATTTACATGGACCCTTTCCGCTGCCCTGGGTCCGCGCGCGCGCGCGCGCCCTTCTCTACCGCCCACAAGGCGCGCGCGCGGGGACCCAGGGTGTTACTGCCAGGAGTCGCCACTCGACAGAGTTGACAAAATCGCTGTTCCTGACCAAAGCTGATACTTCAAAAAACGCCGCTCGTGACAAAATCACACTGGCTTTCGTTTTGCAGCTTCTCAGGTTGCATCATTTGGATTAGCGGGCCCTTGAAAGGCATAGTTACTAGCGACCCCTTCCAACAGTTTGGATACTTTGTCACTGCAAGCATACCACTTCATGTCCTGTCCAAGATCATACGGCGTGCAACAGCCTTCCAATTTCCCTGTGTTTTTTCATGTGTTCTTCCACCACCGCGTCTCTTCCAGACACATGGTGCAGGGATGCATTTCCACGCCTAACCAAAAAGCCCCCCCCTTAGCGCTCCAGGAACTCAATATTCGCACCCCAACCAATTACCCCTCAACACCTTCGGTGTGGGCCTAAAAGTCTGCATGTGGCCATGGTTGCTCCTGGGTGCACTTTTGGGTCCTGGGCGCCATGCTCCAGAGGCTTTGGCGTGGCCGGTTTGAAAACATGTTCACGGACAATTCGGAGGGGCGCTGCACATCAGCCTTGGAATCGTATCTCGCGTCTCTGCTGATCTTTGCTGTGTGGTTGTTGCTCATGCACCCCAAATTCAAGGATTACACAGCGACGCTGGTGCACTGGGTGAGACGTTCCATCCCTCACGGCAATCGAGTTGACACAAATTTGCCTGCCAGGCTGGTTGAAATCAGGCATGAAGAATCCTACCAGGTCCATCATCCCAGCCACACTTTGGCTTGGGTGGGCAAGAAGACAAGACCCCATTCCAAACGAATTGCTTGCGAAAAGGTGCAACCAAGCCAGGGCCTGTCCACCCTCTCCAAAAGATCAGTTTCAGATCGTTCAACAAAGCTACGATTCGCCGCGGAGTTCCCCAAGTTTGCAGCGATGACAAGCAAGACCCATGGCCCGCAATTTGAAACGACTACTGTTGCTGGCAGCTAGATGCTAGGAGATTGTTTGCTTAGTCAAGCAACAGGGCGATCAGAAAGGAGTGGGACAAGAAATGAACCAAACTATTGGGTGTCAGTCCAGCTATAGAACTTCAGTGTGTTGGCGGCTGAACTAGTACTGGTGATCGAAGAACGAATGTGCCCAGCAACACAAGCTCTGAATGTGCCTAGATTTGTTCCACAGCGCATACAAAGAAAGCAGACTTGATCCAGGCTCAATCTGTCATCCAACTAGATCAGGGCCGTTGAGTGGCTGCACATTCGCATATTAAAGCCTTGGAAGACCCTCTCACTCTTGTAGCGTGCTAGAAGAATTGGCAATAGGGGAGGGAATACATTGAAAAGAGATCGGTTTGAGTTTGGTTTCAATTTTCGCTGATCAAAGAAGCCTTACAAGCTCTAGTTGTTTTGTCATGCGCACCATTTTGTGAATTCAACCCCCCTGTGCAGCCTTCGACAACTGGGCCATTGCTTTCCACGCAGCCGGTCACATCTTTTCAGGCGGGCGGGACGAAACATAAACGACGCGAAAACCATTTGTTGAAGTTAGAACATTTCCAAGGTTTTACACTACCAGTTGCTTTTTGAAAGGCTTGCTTACCACGATGACTTCTGATATGCTTTGCACTCACTTAGTCAACATATGTTTCATCCCGGGGCATGCAAGTTGCAGCAGGGTCTAGGATTTACATGTTGCTTTGTGCACTTGCTGAATTTTTCTTCCAAAACAGAACGAACGGGTCGCACGGAGGGCCTGTCATCGTTAGACGTGTTAAAAGAAAATACATGACACGAAAAAAAGGAAGGTAAGGCCCGTTGCATAAAGCAGGCCTTGCCTTCCTTTGTTCATGTCTTCCTTCATTTTTTTCATTGTTTCTATTGGCGATGCTACTAGCGGCAAAGAACAGGGCAGAGGCCAAGCACCAAAGCATCTCATTGGCTTGCAAGACCTAACAAGAGATGCACTCTTTGGAGGCCGAAAAGCGGCCCAGTCAAGCACCCGGTTACACAAATCGATGCTTCCACGGGAATTCTTGGCTTCTCTCGCTTACCTGTTTGAACGTGTCGTTTTCTGACAAGAAGGGCAATTTGACTTAAGCCAAGGCGAAGCGTTATCAGCACCACCTGGCCTTTTCTTGAAAAGTTTGACACCTAAATGCGCTTTAGCTGCCAGAATCGAGCATTCTCTGAATGTCAGACAGCAAGTATTTCTTGTGCGCCAACATTTTCATTTCTTCATATTTCTTCAAGATAGGAAAAGAAGGGACATGTTTCAGACGGAAACGTGCTGTGCAGCCAGTGTGCAAAGCTTGAAGGCGAGACCTGCAGGCAGGAAAGTTTGAGAGAACTTGAGTTGCTTTGGTATCAGAAAATTGAGTCATTGAATACTTGATGCTCTTAACGAGATCTGCAGGCCTGCTGCATCACCGACTGCACCCATTCTCGGTACAGTGTCGGTGGCTGAGTTTTTACAAATACGCTCTGGAGTCCTCAAAGCACTTCTCTTTCCGAGAATGCCCTAAGTGCTTTACAATTCCTGGCCTGAAGCAAAAGTCATGCGGTTTGTACCCCACGTCTTCCCATGCAACGAGGCCAACATCCACTGGATCACTTCCTCGTCTGCTCGGGAGCGCTTCTTTTCACTCAGTTGTTTCAAAGCAGAATTAGTGCCAGCGTGAGCTATCATGCGTCGAGTCACTAGAAGCTTTGGTAGCTAGTAGCTTACTTACTCCCTTACTTAATTGAGCAGGTGCCTACTCAGTCAGTAAGGGCGGGCCAAAAGATATACAATGTTCTTTAGGTTCGCAGATGGCCTGCAACCTTTCTGTTTAGTTTGGATAGGACTCTTGCAAGAAAAAGTTCTCTCAAGATTGCTGGAAGGGGGGATGTACCATACGATTGTTCACTGTATATATACGCAGCCAGGACATATTTCCCCAGATAGCGCAAGCTATTGGGGTTCTTACTTCAAGTATAGGAAGAGATGCATGTGTGCGCTTTCGAGCCTGGGTGCTGTAGGGTGCCGCTGCTGTGTGCGCGTGGGAGCTTGGGTGCTGGTGCCGCTGCAGGGTGCCGCTCCTGTGTGCGCTTGGGGCCGCTGCTGTGCGCTGGCGCCGTTGCTTCTGGTGCTGCCGGAAAAGTCTTTTTGCTATCTGGGGTCTATGCTGGCGTAATTGTTTCCTAGAAGTAGAGGAGCACCCATGACGAAACCTAGCTGCAGGAACAACACAATGGGGCTCAGAAAATATGCAACTGGAAAGACAAAATGCAGCACTGGTTGTTTGGCGCTCATTCTGGTGCTTCCAGTTGTCACTGTTGCAGGCGAGGGAGTACCCTCAAGGGAGAGTATTGACCAGAGCAGAAGCGTTCCTGTAGAGGGCCGCTCCGGTTGAGAGCCACAACATCGATGCGGTTTTGCGTTGTACGGATAGGAAAGGGGTTCTGGAAGATACACCCCAGTATGGGGCAGCCAGGAATGGAGGGAAGCATGTGATTTTGACGCAGTGTTCTTGCGAACAGAAAGGATTCAATTTAGCCAGTTGCCATTCCTAAGACCAAGGCCTGAAGAAGCTGTTTTTCGATGGGGTTAGTAACAACAGTGGAAGGGAACACGAGGGACAGGAGGCCATGGTAAGAACAACCAAGTCCAAGATGTGGGGCTGATAGACTCTTCACGGACTTTTAACGCCTTTCTAGACGTCGTTCTTGCTTGAAGAAGGGCTTTTGTAAGTAGGACAGGAGTCGTAATGGCACAATACACTTCGGGCTTTGAGCTTTCTTGTACAGCAGTGGACGCCGCCAGCACAGGCAAACGACCAGAAAGCACCCTGTTGCACCAGCAGAACAGCAGCAGTGACCATACAACTTAAGTTCACTTGCATGTGAAACACTTGTTCTCTCAAAGACAACGTGCAGCCAGACGCAAAGAACTCGAACTCGTAGCTTCCACAGTGGTGATGCGTAAACTTAAAATCGACTGGTCATAGAGTCATTCGCATTCGTCGTGAAGCCGCCGCGCTTGTTCTCCAGGAATCGCGGCCCTCCTCCAGGCCTTCCTCATCCAGCGAAGGTTGGTCTCATGACTCAAACTGGAAACAGCAAAGTTGGGCATTGAGCCTCTGAGAAGAAACGTAAGGGGACCCTTGTTGAAGGTTCAACATGGTCACAAGCGATGGCTTGGTTCATTTGGCATTGCTGAGTAGGTGGCTTTGTTTTTCTCCCGAATGCGTAGCGAACGGTTCTCGTTTAACTCCGCGGGTCTGGGGATAGAGCCTTGTTCGCGACTCGTTGTCTGAGCGTTCGCAACCGTGGCTTTGTTCCCCAAACAGTGTGGACACACTAGGGCCACTGGGGGTTCTTACGGCAATAGTTAAGCACCGGTGTCGAATCGAGGTGTTGCGCGGTCGGGTCCGGCTACTTCGTTGCTATTTACTAGCTTCTTGTTACTACAAGCGATGCACTTGTTACTACTAGCAAGGCACTTGTTACTACTAGCGAGGCACT